TATAAGGCTCTTCAAATGCGACTTCACTAAAAAAAAACTATTTTTGCCCAGCCAAGCACAAAAGTGTTTTCTCATGAATAAACAGAGCCGGCCCGAGCCTTTTGGGGGCCCTAAGCAGAATTTGATTTGGGGGCCCCCTCCCACTATACGCGGAGTCACATGTGCTTGACGATTATTTACACAAATATCGCGCAATAATGATACATTATAAATTAATACAGTGAGGTTATGTAGCCTATTAATACAAAATAAATACTTAATAAAAAATAGATAGCCTATACTTATATAAAAAAGTTTTAACTTTTACTTTACTCTTTTTCTAACTCTTTGAAACTTCTTAAAACAAACTGTCTCAAAACATATCAAATAATTTATTTGCTAAAATAATGACAAAACTGAGAAATCAACATAATAAGAGGGTTCAACAATGACAATTATTGTTGAAAACTGTAAAAATATCATTATTTCTCAACTGTCTCAATACATTGTAAGTTTTTTTTTGGGATTATTATTGTAACAGACTTGGTTGGATTGTACATGACAGAATCCAACAAAGTCTGTTACTATAATACCGGTAATGATGTACTGGCGCTCGTTGTATGTGCGTATGCAATGTATTTTTCCCCTCGGGGCTTGCCGTAGATAGGAATGGTCTGCACAAAACATACCGTAAATAATCATGCAAATATAGTTTTATTATCTTGCTCTTTTTTTCTCCTCCTCAGGCCTTTTCTTCTTTCTATTTTCGGCACCAGAGGGATACGTCCTTTTTTGTTAAACGACTTAACATTACCGCGCGAGGTGTCTAGATAATGCGCATGACTTAAACGCTGGCAGACGTAGCAGCAGTTGTAGGCAGGTAATATTGATCATGTAATCAGAATTCTCTTGTCTCGAAATATTCATTCATTCATTCATTCATTCATATTCATTCATTCATTTTTGTCACTTGTTTAAGTCATCTAAAAAAATATTTTTCGGTTTTTCGATTCGATTGGGGGGCCCCCTGGTGGCCAAGGGGCCCCAAGCAGCCGCTTAGTTCGCTTATGCCTCGGGCCGGCCCTGTGAATAAAGCACATAAAAAATATGTTTTATCTCCTATGTTTCATCTTATGGCCGGTATCCAGCTGTGAATCTCATGTTCTCTTTGTACAATAGCTTCTCCTATTATTTAATTTAATTTAAATTTATTTATTCTGTTCTTTCTCAACATTTAGCTCAAATCTGCTATGCAAAAGCAAAAAAAATCCTAATTTTAAGGGAACTGGATCTACGTATGCATGCATCCACTAAAAATCACAGTGATTATTTACATTAAAAAAAAATCTGTTTGCAGATGCCACTTGGTTTGATATTTTGTCATCTAATGCAGACATTCAAACATTTTAACAGGTCTCTCACCACATTAACATGTCACACAAGAAAAACAACCATTCAAAAGTATGGGGTCAGTACAATTATTCATTGCAAATTTTTTAAAAGAAATTAATAATTCTATTCACCAAGGGTGCAATTCAAAAGTGAGAGTAAAGACATTGATTATTTGACAAATAGTTTCTTTGAACTTTCTATTCATCAAAGAATTCTGAAAACAATTCCCCAAAAATATTAAGCAGCACAAACTAATTTCATGTTTCTTGAGCACCAAATGATTTCTGAAGGATCATGTGACACTGAAGACTGGAGTAATGATGCTGAAAAAATCAGCTTTGTAAGCAGTGGAATAAATGACATTTTAAAGTATATAAACATAGAACACAGTTATTTTAAGTTGAAATACTGTTTCATAATATTACTCTTTCTTTACTGTCTTTAATCAACTTTTTGCAGCCTTGGCGAGTATAGGAGGCTATTACTAACCCCAAACTTTTGAGCCTTAATGTATTAAAGTAAATGTGCAACTCAGTAAATAGTGCAGATATCGTTATTGTACAGTTAATAATTGTGCCTAAAAAAATAATTAAAAACACATCACAAAAATGTTCTCATATAGGCTAAGGAAAAGAATGATCATAAAATCCATAACATTTTACCAAGGTCCACTCGATTGGAATTTTATTCCCTCGCCACTTGTATAAATCAACATGGGAACTATTTGCAGAGGCTAATCAGGAAGTCTCTACATTTGCATCTGTTGGCATCCTCTCAGTCTTTGGGAAAAGGACTGCAGCTGCCAAAATCATTCTATGACATTGAATCATCAAGCACCCTCACAACTGTAACATCAAATTCCACAAATCATCCCTGTCTCTCTGTCTTAAATCAACGCTTTAATTCATTGCGGCCTTGGAAATGCTAAAAAGCCAATTTTATGGGTGCTAAAAATAGCACAGCTACCCTATTTATGTGGCTTAGGTCTGTCTTGCCAACAGAAACTGTGGAAGCGTCCGCACGAAAGCTGCCCCCTTGTCACACTGCCCGCTGATCTGTCCATTCTTGCTGCCAAGTGTCTCTGTATAAGACTCTCTCTCTCTCTCTCTCTCTCTCTCTCTCTCTCTCTCTCTCTCTCTCTCTCTCTCTCTCTCTCTCTCTCTCTCTCTCTCTCTCTCTGTGTGTATACAGTCTATATGTAAAATACTCCAAAGCCTAAGGCTCATGTGTTTTGATTTTCAGCCTTTCATTCTAAACCTAGACAACTGAAATATGAAGTGAAGCAATCTACAGCACAGATAAGGGGGAGGTATGTGGGACACAGATGAAGGTATGGAGAAGAGATGCAATACACAGCTAAGCGACAGCTAAGTGTTTTTTCTATTCTATTTAAGAGGCTGTTTTAATATAGCACTGCTCTAATTGAGAGCGTGTGAGAGACATACCCCGTGTTTATGGAAAACACTGAGCACAAGGCAGTGGCTAAAGAGAAAGAATGGGAAAGAGAGAAAGAAACAGAGTCTAATGTATGTTTTTGTACGCCTTGAGAGAATATGAGGAAAAGGCTTCTAATTTCAGGTCTCAACGGTAAGAATAACCTACTGTCCCAGGGACAATGTGAGAGTGTTTCAGGGCAGTTCACGAAACTTCCTAGTATGGTATCTTACTTTTTATATTATTATAATAATATATATTTTTTTTTAAATTGTATTTTTATACCACTAAAATTGTTTCCAGGCTGACATAATGTTCTCCAGCATAATTTGAAAATGATCCAAAAGAGCTTGTGATTCAACGGACACAAGAACTTCAAACATCTGACCATCTCCACAAAAGAGTTCACATGGTCAATATCACAAATAGACTCGAATATGAAGATTTTCAATGTCTGCAACATATGTGTTGCATAGCTGGAATGAGTTTAGTGGTGTATCTTATACATGTGAGTGTTTGTTTGTGCATTTCTCTACCACTCTGCTGTGTGACAGACTCCCTGGGCCCATATTTAATTACAGCCAGAGACAAGAAAAGGAAAGTGAGAGAGAGAAGAGAGTGAGGGGAAATGAGTGAAATGAGGTGAGATTGCATTTTCTGTCAGTAACCTGTTATCTCACGTCTCCCCGCTGCTACGGCTGCCAGAATGAGTGGGTGAGCAATGAGAGTGGAAGCCTCCACACCCCTAAAGCGCAACAGAAATCGTGACTGGATTTCACTGCCACTCTGTGTTCATTTTTAAGCGGTCCCACCGTGACCAAAAACACAGTAACAAAGACATACTCTTCTACACACCAGAGACCTGCAGCCGATGACAAGTTTTTGTGCTAACAACGTCAAGGTAGAAAAGAACATGTTCTTTCTAACATGAACTATATTTAGGTAAAATTATTTCCCTCTATTCCCAGAAACTACTATAAATATGTCATTTATAGCAATTCATTCATTCACTGACCATGAGTTGGAAATTATATATATAAACTGCACATTTTAGAGTGGCCTTTTATTGTGGCCAGCCTAAGGCACACCTGTGCAATAATCATACTGTCTAATCAGCATCTTGATATGCCACACCTGTGAGTTGATGGATTATCTCGGCAAAGGAGAAGTGCTCACTAACACAGATTTAGACAGATTTGTGAACAATATTTGAGAGAAATAGGCCTTTTGTTAAATCTTTGAGTTCAGCTCATGAAAAATGGGGGCAAAAACAAAAGTGCTGCGTTTATAATTTTGTTCAGTCTATATGATTTTAGCTATTCTGTTTGGTGCTACTAGTGCCACAGAAATACATCATCTTGACAGGCTGCCGGGCTCCAATTATAAGACTGACAAGTTTGTGAGAAGCATGTCTCCACTAATCACAACAAAAGAATATAAACAGGCTTTCACTTCACTACTACAAAAACATCTTTGCCAAACATACCTTCACCACAGCTGTTTTGCCTTATTAATGTTTCCATCTTGGTCTGAGTTTGTTCTCTTTCCATTGCAGATTTCTGTTTCCCCTAGAGCTCAAGGTTTCCACATTCACTAACTGCTGTCAGGCACAACCACACACAGGGTCCAAATGAAGTAGGGACCATCACTATGTCCATCAATGTGTCCATCACTGTGGCTCTAACATAAACATCCTCTCCACACACACACACAGCTTCATGACCTGCCCTTTATTCTCAGAGATAAGATAGGAGATGAATTTCTTGAGTGACAGTCTGAGAAGACATGCTCCCTGAAAGCTTTAGAGGAGGCATGGAAACAAACTAGGTCTAACCAAAACGTTCCAACTCTGGTTTATAAAATAATAATAATAACAAAGATGAATGGTGTGGGTGTATTTCACCATCGAAATGTGGACTATTGTTGACATTTCATATGAAACAAGGTTATACCGTTGCTAATTTCAATTCATAGGACTAGCATTGACATTAAACTACTTGTGAAAAATGACAGTAAACTTAAATGTCATCAGATGACTAAACATGCCAAAACACAAGATTGGTGCTTTTTGATGGACTTTTTTCTAGTACACTTTAAACTAACAAACAAAGTCATCAAACCCAAGACATTTAAAAAAAAAAAAAAAAAAAAGTAACATTATTATTGTTACTTATATTATATTATTTAATACTCACTCCCATTGTTTTCGTCGGGCTTGTGGAGTGCTCTGCAATTTATGGGACTGGTGAGCTTTGATGACATCACGGTGGTCAACTAGGCCCCCTCTCCTTCTGACAGGAGGAACCAGAGAATCACTGGGCATCAAAGAGTAAAGTGTGCCATCCATCACCACGGTTTCCCCATTCGTTTTGCTGTAGTCAAAGGAGTCAACCTGGCATGCTTCATCACTCATGTCATACACAGTATGATAGTAGGTGGGGTGGGCACAAACACTGCTCCCGCTGGTAGGAGGATGACAGCGCAGTTTGTGGCCCTGTGGCTGCACTCTCCCACCCTTCCGCAAGGACGGCGCTCTCTCCATGATGACTGAGCTGTCTGCATACATGGGAGACAGCATGGCTCTATGGGGAAAAAAGTAGAGAGGTGAAGGTGGCTGTATCCGAAATCGCATACTTCCCTACTATATAGTAGGGGGAAAATGGTATGTGACAAAAGAAGTATGTCTGAATTCACAATACTCATAAAATAGTAGACAAAAGTACCCTGATGACTACTACTGGGTACTACTACTTCCGGCGAGATTCTGAAGTGTGCATACGATGGACACTTTACTATCCCATGAGGCCGCGGGAGAGGATTTATGAATGGCAGTGAAGAGACGTAACTGACGCTGGTCACATGATAATGACAACATGGCAAATGTAGAACATCCAGATTACATTCATAAACACTCATACTATATATAGAACATAGTTGTTTAGCTGCCGTAAAGTAATTACTTATTCAAAATAAGTACCTACTCAAGAGAGTATCCAGTTTCGGACACAGGCTGTATTGGCAGAAATGATTTTGGTGTGATTTTTTTTTTTTGTCATTGTTGTTTTGAAGAATATGGATATTTAAGTGAAATTCAAAGAAAAAGATCTTTTATCTTTTATGATGAGTATCATGTTGAATTTTAAATATGGTTTTCTATAATCTTACTGATTATATCAGTAAAATCAGTAAAATGATTTATCTATAACAGTGGTTCTCAACCCTGTCCTGGCGTACCCCCAACACTGCACGTTTTCTTTGTCTCCCTAATCAAACACACCTGATTCAACTCATCAGCTCATTAACCCATGTGATAATGAGCTGATGAGTTGAATCAGGTGTGTTTGATTAGGGAGACAAAGAAAACGTGCAGTGTTGGGGGTACGCCAGGACAGGGTTGAGAACCACTGATCTATAATGAGCAAATAAATCTATATTTCCATTGATTTATAATGCATACTATGCTATTAATTTATGAAACTGTTGATATAACCTGTTTGTATAATAATAAAAATTATTATTATAGTATTGGTATTTCTATTATTTAAATTCTTGTAATAGCATTTTTCTATTTTTTATTGGAAAATATGTACTGTATGTAGCGAAGTTGTTCATAATGCTTGAAATAAATAAATTCTGGAAAATAACTGAAATTTTTAATTTTGGCATTTTATACATTTACTAATTATATCGGGAGAACTACTTTATTCATAAATGTAAATGAGGATAAAATATATCATTTGATTGATTTCTTATTGCACTTTATTTATTTTTTTGTTGAAAAATACTTATGTTGTGATGGTGTTCATGATGCTGTAAATAATAGTAATACTGTAATACTGACAGCAACCAAAAAAAAGAAGAAGGACAGTGAAGGGGAAAATAGCAGGTGACATGTTATCAAAGGAGAAAGGGAAGCATTGGGAAGAAAAAAGCACCAAGGGAGGTTTAATTAAAAAAAGGCTGCACAGATGTTTAGAAAAAATTGGAATAGACCAACGTCAGGTGAAAATAAATGATGCACTCCAGTACTACGATATGCTGACGGTGCTTGAAGAATTTGTCCACTGTGACACGGGAGGTGGAATAAAGTAATTTAAAGTGACACATACACACTCAACACTTTCAATAACACACACATGCATAAGAAAACAATTGCAGAGATAGACGGGTGTTTATGCTTTTGGGATTTCTGGGGCTCTTTGAGATGCATGCAGCAACCCGGGCCAATAACACCTCTACACTTCTGTTTCCGAAAGCAAAGCATTGAAAAGGTGTCAAAAGCTGTAGTGACCTTCCCCAAAGTACATAGATAAAAAGAAAGGCACAGATGGAGTAAAGCACGGGAAAAGATAAGCACAGTCCAAACTGTGAATGGAATACATTCACACACTACAGTCCTTATTGAGGCTGTGCTCTTTGTTGACAGGCGGGATTTGCTGTCAGGCTGTGATTAGGAGGGACACAGCTTGTCTCAATGATCAGACACTAAAGATGGAACTAACTAAATCTGCCTCTTTATTTTTGGCCAATGGAGAGCAAAGACATTGCGATTAGCATGCCAGTTCCAACAGGGAATATATTCAGTGAGGTGAAGGAGAACCAGAAGACATCCTGAAAGGCCTTCACACATTTTAAGGTCCCTTCCTGGAGGCTGACAGCATTGTGACATTCATGTTTTTGTATTTTTAGCTAGGAACACATCTCTTCCTCATTTAAAGGGTGTGATCCATGGGCTGCTTCCTGGACAAGACAAAAGAATCATTCTTTGCTTTGTTTGCTAAAGCAACAACACCATAAATCTCACTGTAATGGCGAGGTATAGCATAAATATATCCACAAAAGGTGGTAAGATCCAATTTTGGATGATTTCATTTTCATCATTGTGTGTTACAGCAAGTGGCTGTTGGTGTGGGTTGGTTCTCCATTGCACCAGCCCACAGACAGCCTCACCGTTGTGTGGGTGTGTATGAATACATGCAATTAGGGTGACATTTACTGTACAAAGTTCTCCAAAACCACAAAAACGTACCCATATAAATAATGGCCATCAGAATCCCTACTCAATGATGTCAAGTATCAAACTCTGGAATAGTTTTACTGGATTGAACTAGATTTTTTACCTCTCCAGTATATTAGGCGATTTATATGGCTGCAAATGAAAAATTAATTGAACTATTATCAGAAATGGTTGATGAAATTCAGTCTCAGCCAATTCTGCTGCTGACATGTGTGTTTAATAGAAGGACAAAGGAAAATGTTTGACCATACAATAAAATGATTTGCTGCATTTAGTACCCTTCATAGCATAAATAATATGCTACCTGCTGAGTGAACACTGGCTGAAACCCATCACACAACAGTAAAAGGCTGGCAGCAGAGCATCTAACAAATACAAAAGTCCTGTATTAAACATGTCCAAAAATTCACTGCTGTGATACCATGGTATACTGAATATATAAGGCAGTAAAATCATAGTAGCCTACATTGATATATTCCATGGTATTTACCTTGTACTCCAATGTAGTTCAAAGAGTATAGTATTAACATGGCAAATGACCAATACCATGGTATTTCATGGTAGGCTACGTTTCAACCAAAGAAAGATGAAATATTCTTCTGTGATGCCCCAGATACTCCAGGTAAAGGTTTATGGTTTAGATAGATAGATAGATAGATAGATAGATAGATAGATAGATAGATAGATAGATAGATAGATAGATAGATAGATAGATAGATAGATAGATAGATAGATAGATATCGTACTATCATTTTATATTTAGGCTAACAATAAATAACATTATATTAATTTTATATTTTTCAAAGAAAACATAGGCTATACATTTTAATTATTTGTATATAGAGAAAAATATTATAAACATCTTTATGTATAAGCGATTTTGAACAGAGAAGAGACAAAACACTTTCCACGACACTTACCAGAAAGGTTTGTGTTTTTTTCTGAGAAGATCCTGGATTCTGGACCCGTCCGGATCACCTGTAGTTTATAACTGACAAAACTAACAATAAAACTCCACAAACTGATAGGTCCGAGGTCCGTTTTCTCAGAGCAGGAGGTCATTTCCATCTTCAAGCTCGGATCATTCTGTCTTTAAGTATTTTTCTTGGACAAAACAAATAATTTGTATTTTCTCTCAGTGTAATATTGGTATTCCTGTCAGGAGTGACAGCTCTCGAAGGCTCTCGAGAAACGACTCTACGTGGCGCGAGACCCGCATGCGTTTGTACCATAGACAGTAAAGGGTTTGTAAGAGGAGTCTCGCGCTCTGTGCGCGAACGAAACGAATACGTGACTGTAATGGCACTGAGTGTCGCGCGGACTAAAACTACGCGTTTGATTGCTGCTGCTGCTGCGCGATGGGTGAGAGATGGTGTGGTTGTGGTTATTATGAGATGTAGCCTACACATTATTATTCATACGGGACAGGTAAATGCGAATTTCACTAATCAGTCCTTGGTCTACGTAAAAATAAATATCCACAAACAATAAAATGTCATAATAATTCATAATAAATGACAATTATTGGGTCGATTTAACATTTTCTAGAATATGAATTAGCCAATAAGCTTGATCAGACGTAAGAAAGAGAGTCTGAATTGTCAGATGACGGTAAAATGCTGACTCAACGTCTTACTCAGCTTTGACCATTAGTGACATAAAACATTCGTCATAAGACATTTAATAAAATTCGATACACAAAAGCTTAAATAATAAATAATGTTTCTTATTATTTTAGAGTCATGCTTAATTGCTCCTGTTTTAATGTCTAAATGTATATAAAAAAAAGAGGATATATTTGCCATCAGAACATATCACATAAATAAATCATATAATATTATAATTATATAGATTATAATCTTGTCAGAAAAGTGCTCAAACCATAGGGGTAACATAGCAGAATAGGTTATAGACAAATATTTTTTTTTTTTTTTTTTACAGATTTTTTAAGAAACTGCCCTGGGGTTATAAAGCCAACAATCAAAATAATAGCACATTGCTCCTCTTAATAAGAAAAATAACAATACTTCCAAAAATGCTAATTCATGAGTTGCCAGTTGTTCTTTAAATTCTATAGGCCTGAGCAGAATCCATTTTGGACAGAGAGAGGAATGAATCTGGCACGTCTGTACGGTGCTGTATATCTGTTTAGCAGCGGTTTCTTACAGCACACTTGGAAAAACTAAATCTAGCTAAATAAAAAGCTTATTAAACTTCTGTCCACACATATAGTTGGAAGCAGCAGCAGCATGAATACATTAACATCAATCTCTAAAATCTCGCCTGCTAGTTATGCACATCAAAGTGTCCTACTTAGCACTAATTACTTGTGTATCTATGAAAAATGAAAAATACAGCCACAAAGAAATGTTTAAAACAGTCATTTATTTCTCAAAATCATTCAAAGCATATGAATAGTTTTAGCATAGTGTGGTGGTCAGTCACATACATAAAAATCGGTGACCACAGAGACGACTTGAAAAAAGGTCAAACAGGAGCTACACTGGTCAATTTGACAGCCTCTGATTGGCCAGCTGGGCTGATGAGTGTACGTCCCTGTGTTCCAGAAGGACAGTGGGAGGATCAGCTGGTTCTCATGCCGTCCCTGCTGAGATATCTCCCTGGGTCTGGATTATTTGTTACCACGGTGGCGACATGGGCTGCGGGTTCTGCAAATACGACATCACGACTGCCGATATGGACAGCCTGAAGGAATGAATACATGTTTCATTTGGCATACAATCCCAGAAGCATAACATTTGAGAAATTCTTCAGGTAGAATAAACGTTAACGTTGATCAATTAAAAAAATAAATAATAATAATAATAATTAATTGTGGAATTAATTATGAGAATGACAAATGAGCATAAGCAACTCACATGAAGCTGCTCATCATTTGTTTAGTGTCTTCTGAGCTTCGTGAATTGGCGAAACTGATGAACGAGCAATACACTGCAATCCATGCACACCATTTAAGCTGCCAAAATACACAAATGAAACACAATTAGACATTACATAATCACTGAGAATCATTCTGCTCATGTTTTAATCCCAAACAGTGAGCATTCATGAAGTAAACAGACTGTAAACAGGAGTTTTTGTAGATGAGAATGAGGTCACCTTGAGCATCAGCCCACACATACTGAATATCATGCCGAGCAGGTTCATGTAATCCGGTGTAGGATCTTCCAATGTCGGGTTCGTTTCGGTATTGGGAGGCTTGTAGCTGTAAAACAAACACAATATGCCTCAACTATAAATAGTCTGTGCTATTAATGCTGCCTGTCATTTAATCCAGCATCGATTTCATATCAAATACACAGAACACAAACATCACATGATTTCCTCAGAGATAGCCATAAAGACACACAGTATCTAGGTGAACAAACCGAAATAAATAAAGCATTAGATAATAACATAAATATGCAACGATAACGATACAATTGCTGTCAATAAATTAAGTTATCACTAGTTAACATTATTGAATTAATATTTGTACAATTTAACAAGTAACATTAATAAACTGACTATTTAATTTAAAGTATATTATTATGTAAAACCTATATGATACATCTATCTTCAGTGAAAATCTGGTTAAATCTCTACTAATCATTAGCCGAACTGCGGCTAACAGTGATGCTAACTAGAGCCAATCACACCTCTCATCATAGTAAATTAAACCATTGTTAAACACAGACATAATACTCACCGAAAGATCTTATTCGGTCGTCTTGGGTCTGCCATGTTGTTTAGGGTCATATTTTAAAATCCTAATAAAACGAAAACTTCTTTGAGGGGTTTAAGATCAGCACGTCAGCGAACAGCTGACCTGTGAAATTCTACTACGCCTCACTGTGTTGTATGTAAAGCTGTATGTGGTGCACTAGCACCCCCTGCCGCTGAGGAGTGTTAATGTAGGCTAAGTGTGTGTGGAAAATTGGAAAATTTAGATAACAGTGGTAACAATTTGAGTCTAAAACAATTATTTATAGGCAAGTTATTATTAAAATGCAAATACTGTTAAGAAATGGTGGTAAGTGTCACAATTAATGAATTCTAAATGTCAGTCTATTAAAGAAGCACATTGCGTATGTTTTGTATTCCATGATACACAATTATCAAACGTTTTTAATATTTTTCATATCAAGATAAATGCATATGTACAAGAATACAAGAACCATTGAAACATTCGCACCATTACATTTTATTTATTTTCAGAAGATAAAATACAAAAAACACCTTATTTTAATAGACAGCAATTTGTTGACTTAAATTCAATGACATTTTACTTGTTTCTTCCCTTACGAAAATTAACCATGGTTTTATTATAGTAAAAGTGTAGTAACCACAGTTTTTTGGCAGATTGAGTAGCATTTGTATAACCACAGTTTTACAAAAAATACCATGGTTAAACTATGGTTAGTGTACCAAAACTAAGGTTACTTTGTGGTTACCATGGTTTAACTATAATAACCATGTTTTTTTATTTGTAGTAAAACCATGGTTAATTTTCGTAAGGGTTAGTCTTGTGAAACCTCAAAGATTTTTTTAATCCCTTGTGCACCATAAAATGTCTTGCAGTTGATGTTATTTATTCACAGCTGTCCATAAGGATGTTGAACTGTAAGGAGTCATCGTTCTTCTGACAGTATTTGCCTTTATGAGTCCTTCTCTTGTAAAGCCGCAGAATTCATCTCAGAGAGTTCAACATCCCTCTCTGAGTCCGTGGACACTGTGTGCCTTTAATAAATAAATAAATGATCAATATTTCACATTGTGATCTTATATCAAGGTGCAGTATTATGGAATTTAATATTTGTTGTTGTGGTATTTTGTGTGATTCAGCAGAAAGCAATTTTGGCATCCTTATATACTGGATATATGATCTGAAACTATACCTCCCCTCCTCTATATCCAGAATGTTCTCTGGAAGCTGAACGTTGGTGGTCTCAGGCAGCAGGAAGACCACAGATCCGCTGAAAACTGCAGTGGCAGCAAACACTAGAGGAGGTGCAAAGCGCCACACGTCCTCCAATAATATGATCATGGGGGCGAGCGCACCTCCGATACGGGCTACAAAAGAGGTGTAGCCCAAGCCGCACTGCCTATGAAAGATACAGAGAAGCAGAGTGAGTTGCTTCATTCCAAAGACAAGAGGTACCTCAAAATCAGAGGTTTCAAACTGGGGTCCAGGGACCCGCAGGGGGCCGCATGGGAGTGACAGGGAGTCCGTGGGTAAGGAAAATCAATAATAATTTGGTAAAAAAAATAAAAAAAATAATAAGTAACATAAAATAATTAAGCAAATAAATTCAATTAATTAAAAAAAAAGTGATTGAAATTAAAAAGCAGTTAGTTATTAATTAAATAAATCAGATTACAATAAATGAACATTTATTTATTATTAATATAAAAAATTTTTAACTAGAATTACATAATTAAGTAGTAGAAAAAGAGTAGAAAAATAGCAGAGAAATAAGAGCAGACTCAGAAATGAGAGAGAGCTGGATGCCCAATGCAGTGTGTTATTTATTTAGCTACAGAAATATCAATACAAAGTAACTCAAAATAACTAAAGAAACACTAGCCTGGTTAAAACCAGACCATTGTAAATGGTAAATGGACTGCATTTATATAGCGCTTTCACAGACCCAATGGCCACCAAAGCGCTTTACAATTTGCCTCACATTCACCCATTCACTCACTCATTCATACACCGACGGGCGACGGCAGCCATCCAAGGCGCCATCCAGCTCGTCGGGAGCAGCTGGGGTTAGGTGTCTTGCTCATGGACACCTCGACACTTGGTCAGGTGGAACCGAGGATTGAACCACCAACCTTCCGGTTTGTAGACAACCCACATGAACCACTGAGCCACTGCCGCCTCATTTGATAGGAACATTTAGAGTATTTATCCATTTCCATCTTTTTGGAAGTCGAAGTAATCACGCCGGTATGAGTTGAGTTGTCACGCCGGTATGAGTTGTCACCATTCTCAGTTGTAACTGAGTTATGGTCTGGCAAAGCGTCATAGACAAATCATTTCCAGAGGGGCGTCACCAACGGACGTCGCGGATAGACGACGGCCATCGGCTCTGATCCTC